AATATTTTTCAAGTCTGAATCCGCTCTCATGGGGTAATAGTCACCTTTTGTTTTTAAGGTACACCATCTTCAGGGCTCCTGGGTGGCTGGTTAAGCGTCCAGCTCTTGATCTCAGCTCAGGTCATGAGCTCACGGTTAGTGACCAACAGTGGACAGCCCGCTTGGGACTCTCTCTTTCTCTCCCTCTCTCTGCTCCTCCTGTGCATGCTCTCCCTCTCCCTCGCTCTCTCAAAATAAACATAAGAAGAAAAAAAAAAGACACCTCATCCTTTCATTACTCCCGGGCCCCTACTGTCCTAGTGCGAGACTGTGGTTCCCAGCCCTGGCTTCCCATTAGAATCGCCCGGAAAGGTCTGACAATCTGCTGCACGGGCGGAGCCTCTGTCCCCCTCGTTTAGAATCTCTGAGGATGTGACCCAGGCCTCTGCATCTTTAAGGGTTCCCATGTGATCACAGGTGCAGCCAAGGTTGAGAATCTGGGCCACGAGTCCCCATTTATTCCAAATGCCAGATCCGGCTTCCTTGGGTTCTTCCGTCACCAGGGTGGATCCCACTGGCCATCCCTGTTTTCCCCATCCTGTCCCTAGTCAGAGAGGAGACCGTGGCGGGTGAGAGCCCTCGTTCTAAATGATTCAGCACCTTGCTAATCCCAGAGCTTCAACAGTTAGAAGAGAGAAGTCTGTTCCCACCCATCTGCTCAAGATTTCCTGTCCCTTTCCTTTTTTTTTTTTTTTTTAAATGTTTATTTTGAGAGATCGTGCACGATTGGGGGAGGAGAGAGAGGGGGAGAGAGAGAGAGAGAGAGAGAGAATCCCAAGCAGGCTCTGCACTGTCAGTACACAGCCTGACTCTGGGCTGAAACTCAAAAACCAGGAGATCATGACCTGAGCAGAAATCCAGAGTCAGATGCTTAACCCACCGAGCCACAGAAGTGCCCCTGTCTCTTTCCTCCTTAAACTAAATGCTTAGAGCTTGGTTTTCTTTTGTCCTTAATCACTTGCTCTCGCAGGCATGAATGGAGAGCGCACACATGCTGATATGGATAGGGGTGTCATGCAAAAGTTGCAGAAATAGCAGGCCATTCAGGCGCCCCGAGCTCTGGGTTTGGCCCCTAATGCTGTCTTGTGGAGAAGGGCTCGCGAGGCCAGATCCTTATGCCGTCCAGGTTGGCCCTGACTTTTTCCAACAACGAAGTGTGTGTTCAGTATTCTATGCCAGTGAGTCTCGGCCAAAGCGGTTCTGCTCGTTAGGGACAAGTACAGGTATTTGTGGAGAGCTCTGTAGCTGTCACCATGATGAGGCAAAGCTGGCATCGAGCGGGTGCGGGCCAGGGACGCCAGGCGTCCTGCAATGGGCTGCCAGGAACTGTCCCCCGCGGCAGGACCTGGTAACGCCCCGCCCAACATTCATGCGAGCGAAAAACCTATTTACAACGATCTGCACCTGCAGGCCGATTCTGCTTTAAAAATAAGCTTTTAGGCATTCTCGGAAAGATGCAAAAAAAATTTTTTTTTCACTCAACAGAGTGTTGCATCTGAAAAAAATATTCTCCGAGATAAACCCTAGGGGCTCCTCAGATTCGTGCGACCGTCCAAGTCAGTGCCATGGGCTGGATGCACAAGCATGGGCACGTCTCGGGTTCTCCTCTGTGCCTGGAGAATAATAACGGAACCTCCCTCTGAGGACTGTTGAGAAGATTAGATGCGACATATAGAAAATTCTTAAGACAGAGCCAGACACACGTTGCACCTTCAATAAAGGTTAGGGTTGTTGTTTTTATCACGGATAACCAGACACTCGTCCCGCTCTTCCAAAGGCTGCCATCTGGTTGCAGAGAAGAAGTCAGACTGCGGGAGTCCAGAGGAGAGGCCTTTCACAGAGGTGATGGCATGTGGCCCTCTCTGGCACGACACACAACTTTTAACAGTGTTGCAGCGTTACAGAGGTTGCTTTTCTTTCGGCGTCGTGACCGCAACTCCTTCCAAAGTCAAGCAAAACAAAGAAATTTGCACAGGAGAAAAGCCAGGGCCCTAGAATCATGGCTACTGAAGACCGGTCCTTTTGTGAGGTTGCATTTTCAGGGTCAGGAGAAGGTGCACCCCAAATCACCCTGCCCAGACTCCTCAGATGGCGGGAGGAGTTGGTGTCCATTCCTGAGCTGAGCACCCAGGACAAGACCCGTGAAGAGAAGCAGACACATCCGCTGGGCTCCCAGAGCAGTTCTGGCCATGCCTGTCCCCCAGACCGCTTCCCGAGGGCCCCCCCTCTGCAATTTGAACTAGCTTCTTCCCCTCTCCATGGCTCTGAAGATGCAAAAGCATTTGAGAGCGACCAAGAAATTTTCTTTGGAGGGGGAGCGGAGGAAGAAAGACTGCTTCAACCAAAAACTCAAAAGGTGGTATCGCAGAAGCAACCAGGTGACGTTGTTGGGGAAACGCACCATGGACCACAGGCCCCTGTGCAGTGATCTCTGCTCCAGAGAAGATCATGTCCAAAGCTAATAAAGTGATTGCACGAGCCCTTTTGAGGAGAGAACGTCAGATCTGCCAGGGCTCGTGGCCGTCCAGCTGGAAACAAAAGCTCATCCTGATGACCTGAAGGCAAGAAGATCAAGTTATGCTCGGCACACTCCACCTAGAAGGCAGCGGAGCACATGAGGCAGACTTATGCCAAATGCTTCATTTGTCGAAGTGCCTAGCGTTGGTGGCCAAGTCCTTGATCCTTGTGTCTGTGAACGTATCAACAATAACTGCCGTCCGTTGCCTATCAAGGGCCAGGTATCATGCTAAGTGTTCTGCATGTATCACCTTTTATTTATTTATTTTTTAATGTTTATTTATTTTTGACAGAGAGAGAGAGAGACAGAGCATGAGTGGGCGAGGGGCAGAGACAGGGAGACACAGAATCTGAAACAGGCTCCAGGCTCCGAGCTGTCAGCACAGAGCCCGACGCGGGGCTCGAACCCACGGACCGAGAGATCATGACCTGGGCCGACGTCGGTCGCTTAACCGACTGAGCCACCCAGGCACCACTACCCTGTGGATTTTAACATAATGCAGTTGTTGAGTTGTTGTAGGACATGGTTGAAATGTCGGAACATTTTATACCTAAAAGCTGTAAGATGACGACTTTCCGGAGCCCTCCCCCAAACACGTGATTCATATAATGTTAACACGTAATTTACACAATGAGTGGACCTATAACATAGATCTGATAAAGGCATCCCAGATCTGTAAACTTGAAGCTACGGACACCGACAACCAGGTGCTCAGGTAATATTCATTTTCCCTTTACATCAAACCAAGTTAAATATTTTGGAGGCCAAAATGAATATGAAGCAGTTTCCTGACACTGTTCTTGTCGATTCCATACTCCTGGTGGTATTTTCACCGACTGTTACCCACAGTGTAATGTTAGCTAGCGTATGTCTTTCTACACCAACAATATTTTTTGACACTGAGAACTCGAAAAAAATCATAGTGATAAAGATGCTTTATTTTTACTTGACTTCTACTGGAAATTTAAAAAAGAAAAGGTAGGAAGAGCCCCTCTTGTAAACGAGGGTGGAAACTCTGGACCCAGGTTTGCTTTCTGTTAGCCAAACCTTGGTAAAGCCACAGAGGAGAGAGTCAGCAGGTTACATCAGAAGGCACCGCACTCGCAATGAATCGATCAGGAACTCATCATGAATCAGAGAAGTAGGGCTTTCCGAAAGCCAGTCCGTGTCCCGTGACACGTTACTTATAACGTCCTCAAAACCCAGCCCATTTAACTTGGTGATAGTTATGTTTGTTCTTTGACTAGGAAGCAGTTCGAGTGACAAGGTACAAAAAATAATAAGCATGCAGCCCTTTATTGAGTTTTGCAAAGCCTCTGCTTATCGTTCTGTATATTACATGACTGTGTTATACAAATACATTTATTTACAAAAACACTCTATCTGTGCAAACTCGTTGCTTTTTAAAAATGCACGGGTATCCCCATTTCTGCCCATCCCAAGATATATTTTTAAAGCATGCATAAAAATTAACTTTGGTGTGCGAAAACTACTCTGTGCTGCCACATACGGTATTTTTTATTAGGCCTATTTATATATATGTACAAAAGTTGATCAGTTTACAGAACCGTACAGAAGTGTACATGTTTAAAATCCACAATGCAAGAGTGTGGGTCACCAGGTCTCAGGAAACAAAGGAAGGGTTTAGATACTGGAAAGGAAACAACTAGAGAATCCCAATATGTTAAGAGAAAGAAACAAGAGAAAGAAAGAAAGAAAGAAAAGCAAAGAAAACTAGCTTGCTTGGGCTGCAAATTATTATACATAATTCTCACGGCAGTGCAACAGGTTTGATAAACTGCCTTCTACATATGCCTCGTGTCGGCTCGTGTAGAAGTTCACTGGCTTTTTGTCTAGCACGCTACTTTCAAATGTACAATGCTATAGTATCAAAATGTTTTTGGCAAAAAAGATCTTGAAAGGAACCATGACGTTCTGACAAAAATAGAAATCTGTAATAAAGCTAAATAACACCAAAATAAAAGGAAATATTATAGTATCTGTTTTACAATTTGTATAGATAGTCACGCTTGTGTATTTCTCGGTTTCACGTCTAGTCTCCGTAATGAAAAATATTTTTGTACAAAACATACTAAAATTCTGGAATCATACATGTTTTACATGCTGAGTACATTTTCCTCCCCGTCTCTCACACACCCTTCTCTCCTGCCAGCCACTCTTTTCGTAACACATGCTTACTTCATTTGACGGGTATCGGCTATAGACAGTAAACACTATGTAATTACAATAGCAACGAAGAAAACAAACAAGCTTCACTGACATCTATTCATCCAGTATTTAGCACATACTTAGCATTAAGCCTCAAACGGTACGGCAATATGTTACATTCGCTTGGGAAAACAGTTGTGGAAGACTGTCGAAAAACGTTTTTTGTGTGTTTTTTTAAAGGTAACTCCGACTTTCACCTAACAGGATTTGGCCTTTAAGAGGTTTCCTTGGCTGTGGATGGGGTGGCTTTGCTTGAACTTCCGTTCTGTGCCTTGTAGCTGGTGAGGCCGGGAGTGTGGATGGTCCTGATGCTCTTGGCACCTTGATTCAGTGAAGTGGGGGAGGCGGGGGAGGGCGGGGAGGAGGAGGAGGAGGAGGGGGAAGGGGCTGCTCGGCCGTTTTGAGTCTGCAGTGAGAATGAGAGATGGTGGCCTTTACCTGTGTGAGTGGGGCTCTGAAACTTTAAGGAGCCATTAGAGACAGAGGGGATGAGGGAGGCAGAGGGAGCAGATCGTCCTGTTTGGGGGCTGAGAGGGTTAGAAGTAACCGGTGGTTTAGTAGCAGGTGGAATAGGCAAGTTAGAGCTGTCACCACTAGAAGAGGGCAGAGAACTGCTTTTCCCAGAGCTGGGAGAAAGGGCTGGAATCTTAGAAGCAGGTAAGGAGGGGAAAGTAGGCTTACAGTCCCCACCAGCTTTCTTAGCACTTCCATTAGCCTGCAAATAAAGATGGCGGGAGACAGTTTGTCAGAAAGCTGGTAACACGATCAAACCACAGGGTCTGGCAACACAGCCCTTCTGAGAATGACTAAATAAAAGAAACCAAATCAAACCAAACCAGTTCAAGGCCTGAGCTAAGTCCTTGTTGTGCTGCACTGGACCTGGGAGAGACCCCCAAAGTACAAGAACGGAGATGTGTAGAACGGGAGGAAAGGAAGAACGGCGTAGGTGAGAAGAGGCACACCATCCCGCTACCGTTCCCGGGTGCTAGGTCGGCCATGCGTCTGGGTGATTACTGGGGTGGGGCGGGGGCATCGTGACGGACAGTTAATGTGCCTCTAATGCAATGCAGTCAGCATATACGTTAGTACTGGTGACTTTCAGGGCAGCTCAAGGACAGGTCTGACTCGGTTTCCCGAGGTGTTCTGATGAACCACTACATTCACCCAAAGAAAAGCCGACGGGCCCGGCACCTTGTGTTAACAGTTAAACTTTGGAGTCACAAAGTAAAAGATGTTTTATTGCAAGCATGCAGAAGCGTGGTGAAAAGTTTAACGAAGGTTTTTAGACTTTCTTCATGCCCCAGATCCAGGGTGTCTACGTAAACCATATCTTACAAAGAAAACATGATATTTGGTATAAACTAAGTCAGTGACTTGCTTCTTAAACGCAACAGTGTCCATCCAAAATTGGGTTTAAGGTAAAACTACCTGACGGTATTGGCGGGGGTCCTGCAGTTTGGACTGCTTGCCAGGCTTGTCCAGGCTTCCGGGTCTGTTCTTGGAACTCATGGGGACCGGCATCCTGCTCGTCTGTGGGGTCCCGGTGGCGCCCTGTGGGAAGTAGCAGCGGGAGGGGAAGAGAAGGAGAAGCACGTGAGCGGATTGTCACGCAAGCTCTCCCACTGTGTGCAGAAGCTCAACGTGAGAAGCCACAGCCCTACATGCAGGACAGATCTAGGAGACGGACATCAGGAGACACCACTGGGGTTAATTTGAAGAATCAAACAGAATGAATCTGCTCCACTACTGATCAAACGGATTTTAATGTGAGTATCAGAGCAATCATTTCAACAGCACATGACTGACCCAGCGTCCTCTGCGTTTACCCAACACCAATCAGCAACAGAGGTAAAAAGAGCATCAATTAGCTGTTAGACACCTAGTTGTTGTTGTTTTGAAGGTGAGGGAGAAAGTGTGAGAGAAAGGGATCGTGGCGAACAGACAAAAATAAAACCACAATGAGCCACCTGAAAGGAAGCAAGTAAATCACAAGACACCTGTTGCTAATGGTGATTATGGCAGATGTAAGAAAGCAGCTGGGTCTTTTCGTTTTCCATCAGACCAAGATACCTTACGTGAGGCTGAAGGTACGGACGAGGGGGGCTCTAGGGCAGTGGGAGCTTCATCCAGAACTAGCAGGGAGCGGGGAGAGGCCTCTTGGGCTATGTGGGCTGAGCTTGCAACAGAATCTCTGTTGGAAGAGCATGAAGCGTCCACTAGGGCTCTTGGACTCATTTCACTGATTGTGGTTTCAAGCTGTTTGATGGTCTGCTCCAGGCTGTCCAGCGTCCTGTAGGTATTTTTTCTAATTTCGTCAGTTCTGGAAATCACAGATGCGTTCTCTGCACTGGGCGGCTCTGGTCTCCTAAGCATACTCTTGGGGGCGTCTTCAGGTTGGGACCTAGTGATTTCAAATCGTTTAGCTTCCTTGTGCTGCTTCAAAGTGCCGTCCTCCTCCTCCTCCTCGTAGACCACCACCTGCAGCGTCTTCTTCCCCGTTTTGGTTCCCGTGCGAATTGCCTGAGTGAGAGCAGCCAGTTGCTTTTTAGGGAATTTGAATTTGAACTTTTTCTTGGGGCTTTCAAACTGGTCATCCGTCACGTCACCCTTGCTTTCTGCACTTGGAGAATCTGCGTGGCTGAACCTGCTCAGCTCGTTCTTACTCGTTTCCTGTCCTGGGGGTTCAGCCTCTGGTGAAAGGCAGTGTGGCTGGAATTTACCATCAGCCTGCTGCCCTGATCCGGGGCTGCCGGATGCAACCTTCTTATGCAACTTTTGGGAAGTGTTATTCTGGAGTACAGGGTCTCCGTTTTCCTCCTCTTCCTCCTCCTCTATCTTTTCCTCTGTCATCATCCTCTCTAGTTCCTCGTCGCATTCCTCGAATATGGTTGAAAGTCTCTTATATGCAGACCGGATGTCCATGGGCTCGTCAAAAATGATGATAACTGGTTTCTTGTCTAGGCACACGACTGGCTCTTCGTTTTCAGCTCCTTCTTGTGGGGACATTGCTTCTTTCTTGGCATCAATGTTAACCGTCTGTACATCTTCCCCCTTTTGGCTCACTATGTCGCGGACCTCCCCACTGGAGAGCACCTGGACGGCAGTTTTGGTGATCATGAAGGCGATGTTGTCGGTGGTCGCATTTTCTTCAGTGGGAGAACTTGGTGTCGATTCTCCGTCCTCGCTGGAGTTCACGCTAGCATGCCGTGCCCCCTTGGGTCTTAGAGCAACCTGGCTGAACTCTGTCATGTGAACCTCTTGATCTTGAGTTCTGACATCACACGTGCTCAATTCAGTTGACCTAGCGGGAGAGGGAAGGTCACACCTATCTGCGTTTTCCTGTCTTTCTAGTCTCATCTCCTTCGTCTTTCCATAATTCATCTTCTGATTCTCAGCGTCAGGCACAGGGTACTGCGGTCCTGAGCTCTTAGGTCCTTTGTTTATTTCATCTAATGAACAAAGGCCAGAGTAACTGGGATTGACCTTAGACACATTTTTCTGGGTATAGTTTCTACTGTCTTTAAATAAACGTTTGCCGGATATGGAATTTTCCTTCTTTAGGATGTCTGTTTTATACTCTGATGTTCTTGATGCATCAGAAACACTATTCTCCATTGCTATTTCCCATTTAGGATGGTCAAGGGGTGTGAGAGCCCCTGTGGGAACCTGAGAGGGAAGTGGAGGAGGGAAACCACACACATTAATCAGAACAGGATCCGCGAAAGGGGGCAATGAATCTGCATGGTATCCGTCGGAACGTAGATTTGCTAAACTCACCTTTCGGGATTCCATTTGGGGGCCGTTTTCATATTCGACATCAGATTTCCGAACGTCTTCATGGAAAAATTCCAAATTCTGGTAGAATAGTGTAGGACATGTTACTGCACAAAACCACATCCCCCCACCAAAGTGGACTCTAACTAAATCGTTCCTTTAATCACACTTCCAGAACCTGTGGGCCAAGCACATCTGCCAAAGCCTAGACAGCTCTACCTTGGCTGGCTTTGTTGTTCTCCAGCTTCCAAACACGCCCTGTGTTCGCACGAGACGAAAATCTCAATTAGCAAAATAGTTTAGGGATTTGCAAAATTGGTGAGGGAGCAGTTAAGAGAATAAAAGGATCGATTCTGTGTCCACACGTTCTCTCTCCAGCATCTGATTGTGAGCTTAGCAGAATCGAAAACGGGAAGAGAGGTGTAGTGCAGTAGAAAGCACAGTATCTCGGCAGGCAGAAGCTTTTTGGTTCTAATCCAGCTCTGCCCCTTAACTGTGTCACCTTCACTTTCCTGGGCCTCCGTTTTCTTGTGTATAGACTGGGGAACTAGACCAGAACCCTTCCAGCTAGTTACTTCGGTACTATCTCTGCTGCTTTTCTGGAAACTGTCCTATAAGGACTCTGCCCCACTTGGGTGTCGTACTTGGAGATGAAACGAAAACCTTATTTTTCCCTGTTCAAATGACAGACTGATAGTGTATGTGCAGTTTGCACTTGGACTTGGCCAAGTCAAGTGTCACAATAACCTTCAACCTAATAATACCCAAGGCGGTCAAATCCAAATTCAGAGTGATAATGCTGCCAAAATACCCTCAAAATACCTCCAAAGCAGATATTGGAGACTACAGCGGTGACTTTGACATCGTAAGTCAGCTTCTAGTCTCTGTATTCTCGGACACAGAGCGAAGGTCCATTTCTGCGGGTGTCACCGAGATTCAGGACGTGAGGACCCAGCAGTGAGGCTCAGGTCCGGACAGTGCTTCACCGGGAAGCGTGGCCTTGTCTGGCCTGTGTGTATCAGCTCCCTTGGGCTCTGCCACGGCACTAACACTAGCTGTGCCTTGTCGCTTCCAAGGCACTGCTGCCCTTTCTTCTTGCTGCCCAAGCCCGAAAGGAAGAGGTGGTTACAGGGGGAAGGGACACAATCCCGAGAAGGTTGTCTGGCTAAAGCGATGACAACATAACAAAGCATAATAACCGGGCCCGCCCAAGTCAACCCACAGCAACCCCACCGCCCTGTTACAAATGGAAAGGATGTCCATACACATTCAAGGAATAACACACAAACACCAAAGTCAGTATTAATCACATGGAAACATCGTACGGGATACAAGGTGCATTAGCCACCGGATACCTCCTGTTAAACCTCCCCTCCTCCCGGTAAGGCCCCAAACCAGTGCAACAATTCGGCCGGTGCAGACGAACAACATGAGGTCTTTTGTGGGATTTTAAATTTGGATCATTAAACAACTCACACATCCAATAAAAGGTTTAAGAAGAAAAGCAAGAGAGGTTTCGGACTAAGGTTTCAACCCCAAACACGGAGGCAGCAGAGCATGCTAGGACATGAGTGAGAATTTACCCTGGAATTGGAGAAGGAGTCGACATGTAATCTAGACACGACACGTGCACAGCTGACGTTCTTCTGGACCAGTGCCTGGGGTCAGCGCTGGCATCTGTCTGACTGGTCAGGGCCCATGCCATACCCACTGCTAAGTATTTCAAATGTCACCCAGAGACACACGTATTTTAAAAGGGGTGTGGTAGCAGGAATCCTCCGATGAAAGCCACTAAGGTAAAGATGTCAAGGGTAGGTTTCACATGACCTGTTACTTTTGTTACTGGGCTAGAAAAAAAGAACGGAAGTCTCACAACAAGTGCATTAACTGTATCCAGGGTAGCTCGGTCACAATTGTCATGTCATCTCACAATGATATCTCAGAGGTAATCTTAGAGGGTCAAGACTGCGTAAAATGTGGTTAAACCTCTTAATGTCTGTTTATAGGTAGGTCCTGAGGTTTGGATTGTTCAGAAAACTGTGTAGCAGGCTCTAAATGCATATGGCAATCAAGCAAAATCAGAGACACAGTTATAGGAAAATTGTACACAAGTGAAGCATTAGGCTGGCACCTCATGATGATAAGGAGAAAATTTTAAAGAAATACTTGATTTATAGAAGAGTAGACGAATAGCCCAGGAGGAGTGCTGACAAAAATGTGGGGAGAAGTCTGATACTCATGGTTATTATGAGACAGGTCAATCTGCTGCGTAGAAGTATCTAAAACAAGCTCTTAAGTGCCTATACGGCTCTCACTACAGACTTGGCCTATTATCCGACGGACTCCTGATTGAGGTGAAGGGTATCTAAAGGCTATGGCTTTCTAATTGCAAGGCGAGAAATCTTATGCAACTTTTCAGCCAATCAGCAAAGTTCTACGAGACAACGATGATCTCTAGAGGGATCTTTCGGAAGTTCCCAGTTCCCAGTGTTTCAGACAGACATCGGCCCAGGTATGCCCTGTGACTCAGGATATCCCAGGGCCTTTCATGAGGTGGTTTTACTTAGGGCCACTGTAGGGCAATCCCACAGACTGAAAGAGGAGTATATTTCAAATAGGATGTCATGGGTTCACTTGAAAGTAACAGGAGATTCTCTTCATGAGAAAGATTTAACAGCAATAATCTCATAACCTCTCCTGCTGCACAGAGATGCCCCCAACCCCCCCCCTCCCCACCTCGGCAGACCTAGTTTGCAGGAGGCCCTGGGATGGTTGTGAGGCAGGGAGGAGGAGGCCGGTCTCCTTGTCAGGGCCTCACGGCCCGGGGCTGTCAGCCCCAGGACCGCATCTCTTGAAGGATTATGCTAGAATAGCCCTCTGATTCGTGATCCTTCATCTCCCTCACTGAGGCTTCTTTCACGGGGACTGAGGTGCCCACCGGGAGTAGCTATTAGGCTACACTACGGCTGATTTGTTTGACTTTATTTAGGGGAAGCTCGAACCTAGTCCTCGCGAAAAGTGCTAGGACCGGAGTGGGTCACGATAAGCTTTTAATCCTGAAATTCATTCAGATAAGATGGCTTTATGCCCAAGAATCCTAAAAGCTCTAGAGCCAACTCAGAAAGTTGAAGCTCACACATTCAGGCTAATGTCCTTTCCCTAAAGGACTTACGTAATGACGGTGAACTTTGTTTTAGAGCCCGGACAGCTGTCCTGAAGCCATTAGGACGCCACAATGTGTATGAGCACTGAGCTTACACCGAACTTATTGTTTTGCAAGGTATAGTTTGAGAATTTGTCCTACTTAGCGCAAATTCTGTCTGGCGTTCCTGAACACGTGTGCAAACACATATGCGTCGTTTCTACGAGGATACACCCAGGGATGATGAGCATATAGCTCTGTGGTGTGTTTTCTCCCTACACTCTAAGGCTTGCAGCTACTTCTGACACAGGCGTGTGGGATCTAGAAGACACGTTAAGAATTAGAAAAAGTGCTACATACTTGACTGATGTTTCCATTTACTTCTAGAGTTCTAGAAAATCTTGCAAGGGGGATACTCTTTAGTTTGGGAAGATAATGCCCAAGTTCTGCATAGACTATTACAGGAACACACAGTGCACGCTGGGAACCCGAACCAGGCATCTCTGATTAAACCTAAGGCTGTGTCTCTGTTAGTTTAAAAAAAAAAACAAAACAAAACAGGTGAGAGGGAAAAAGAGGGCACAGAAAGGACAAACGCAGGAGCGGTGTTAGTGTCAGAGCAAGGAAAGAAGGACCATTCGACTGTGTGGCAAATGTGTAACTGCCACATTACCTTCTTCTCCTTGGGTGGGACTGTGGCCCCCGGCCTAGTGTCTTTAACGTGACTGTCAGCCCGGGACTGCTCAGCGTGACTGTTTGAATTTACATCCATAAAGGAACACTTCTGGAATGCCTAAGGGATTAAAATACTGAGGTTAACAGGGATGCCGGCGTAGTGAGGAGGGAGGAGGGAACAGACAGGGAGTCTGGAGGCGTGGAGACCCCAGCCTAGTCCTGCCGGGCGGTCACACCAGGGACGGGGAGGCGGCGCCACGAAACCTGGTTTGGCATTTGGCCTCAGAGCAGCAAAGCTGAGCTCTGAGCCAGAGGCAGAGGCTTCCTCACTGGCTGTGCCACGGCGTGATAAATGGACAGAACCCTTGGAACGCATGCCCTTTGTGGGGTGTCTGGGTGCCTCGGTCGGTTGAGCGACTGATTCTTGATCTCAGCTCAGGTCTTGATCTCACAGTTTGTGGGACTGAGCCCCGCACTGGGCTCAGCGCTGAAAGCGTGGAGCCTGCTTGGGATCCTCTCTCCCTCCCCCTCTCTCTCTGCCCCTCCCCTGCTTGCACTACTCTCTCGTCCAAAGTGTGCAGAGCCCGATTGGGATTCTCTCTCTCTCTCTCTCTCTCTCTCTCTCTCTGCCCCTCCCCTGCTTGCACTACCCTCTCGTCCAAAGTGCGCAGAGCCCGATTGGGATTCTCTCTCTCTCTCTCTCTCTGCCCTTCTCCCCTGCTTACACTACTCTCTCGTGCAAAATAAACTTTAAACAAACAAAAAAAAAAGAATACAGTAGTAACATAGTAACAGGTACTCCCACATTCTAAGGTGCTCTGAGGTGCATTTAGAATAAAGTGATGCTCCTGAGTGCCCATGGGGTTCTGAGCTGCCTCCTTTCTGCCTGAGCTTCTAGATCTGTCCTAGAAAACTATCAATTTCAGTTCTAGGAGTCCACCCCAGTTTGGGTGAACAGTGGGTGAGGGAGGCCAGTCCTCAGACAAACAGAAAGCACAGGCTGTGTCTGCGGGGCAGAGAGGGAGTGACAATACGGTCACGAAAGCAGGAAAGATGAAGAACCCAGCACCCAAGCTTCTTGAAATCAGTGGCTCTCAATTCAACTACATGTCACCTAGTTAAAAAAAAATTTTTGTTACCCAGGCCTCACACAGAGAATAATTAATTCAGAATTAATTCACATGCCTTTTTTTTTTTTTTTAAACTCCTCCAAATAATTGAAACTTGCAGTCAGGATTAAAGATCAGCTATTTCGATGAAAAATCCCAAATAACTGCCTCAATATTTTCTTACTGTCAAATATGGTCCTTTGGAAATACCTCCGTGGGCAGAAAGAATATCCCAGGCCCGTGCCAAGTTGACTGTTTCAGCATGGGTCCTAAAACATGACTTGAGCCGATGCCTGGGACCTTCCCCGGCCTGCTCTTCTGTTTCTCTGCTTGTTCCTTCTTCCTGAAGCCGGTGTGCTGGCTCCCCCCTTGCGGTCTCTCAGACACCCCAGTCCTAGAGGGCCCTGGAGATGCCCATTGAGGCCACCTGCCATCTCTGCTGGGCTGTCAGACCCTGGACTTCGGAGCCTCTGGTTTTTTCTGACGCCTGGTAACACACAGCAGGAAACTGTTCCACAGTCACACTCAGGAGGCCGCATCTGCTCCTTGTCCTGCCTCGGGGGCATCTAAGTGCAGAGCCCAAGTGCGCGGCTGACCTTCTGATGCAGCGGGTAGGGTCCCTACCCCAGAAGGAGGGCTCTTGGCTTTGGTTAAGTCAGGCTTAGAGCACTTGATTCACCAGTATTACCTAACCACCAATAACACAACAAGAAACCACATACTCCAGGCTTTGAAAACTTTCAAAGAAACCATCAGAGATATTTAGACGTCAGTGGTGGGAAATATTCCCAAGTGATGAGCTCTAAAGCGCAGCTGGAACAAGTAAATGACTTCTCTTAGGGGGCTAGTGCAGGATTATCCATGAGCCTAAAAGTTTCTACTTCTTGGATTAGGAGTGACTGTTCACCTTGCACAGATGTAAAATTACCTAGTTCTTCGTCATCCATTTGAACCAAACTGGGCCACGATCAATTTAAACCACGCTTTGGGGCAGAGGCTACAACGAACGGTCCCAGAATCTGCCTACACATCTCAGGACGAGCACCAATCTCCCGACGACAAGCAGCCCGGCCATGCCAGTGTCATTAGCCAGAGGGTCCTCCCTGGATCACTGAGCGACGGACGCCTCCACCCTCTCAACTGTTTCGTGCATCGCTAACTGTATACATCTATGGTTCCTATGTATGACATTCTTTAAACGTCCTAAAAATCTGTCAGCGATCTGATTGGTGGAGGGGATGTCCTAGGCCAGTCTGAGAGAAGCTCAGAAGGGCTCACCCCCGTGACAAATCAACCAGCAGCCCTGTAAATCCAAACAGCCCAATTTTGGTAGTTATTACCACAGAAAGCAGAGTGGAACAACCGTGGTAGAAATGACATGGCTTAAAAGTTCTCTTTACTCCACATGAAGAATGCAGACCCATGGTGCGTGCACTGGTGAAGAGGCAATGTATTTTGGAGCCCTAAGTGTGTGATCTGACCATGTGATCTGACCATCCAGAGAGGGGAAAAAATGCTACAGTGAGTATGGGTCAAAATGAAATACTCTATGAACAGACTTTGGTCTGGGAATGGTGCATGCCTCTGATTAGAAAAGTTCTTAGAACATACACCCAGGGTAGGTTCACATCCATGATTTGAATGTGGGGTAAACTTTGAGTACAGTTTCTGTACCCCATCCTTAATCCTAAGAATGGACTGTGTCAATTAATTAAAAAATAAAAATCTAAAACTAATAAATAATCATTTCGCAAACAGGGCAAAGAAAATGGGAAATGAAATCATTCCATTTTTCTGCATATTTGAAAAGACGATGCTGACACGGAATGGGAACTTGGTATGAAGGACAGAAGACCTAAGGGCAGCCATTCTAAGTATTAAAACCAAAGTTTTTATGAGACCCACGTGAAGGAGGCCTTAATCAGTCCTTACGAAGACAAGACAATGGCTGATATTTTGGATCCCTGTCTGAATTGCTTTTGAAATGAATGGACTATTAAAAGCAAGGAAAGTAAATCCTCTTGGCTGGAGCTAGGAAAATTCACAATTCATTTCCTGTATAAACTTCCTGAGTTGTTTTGTGAAACAGTCATTCCTTACGCACGTCATGAAGTACCCTGAGGGTAGTTCAGCGCCATCTTGGAAAACTGAAGGCCAAGGCCAAAAGATGCTGCTTACGAGGCCTAGGTCCAAAGGCTCCTTGCCAGCCCTCTCTAGCTAATGGATCTATGAGAGACGTAGCCAGAGCGGCCTAGCTAGTAAGGCAAGGAGCCACAACCAGTTACCTCATCCACATACCTGGAGTTCCGCCATTATTTTGTCTCCTTCTTCTTCTTCCTCCTCGTCCTTTGAGGACGAGGTAGCGACTGGCGGTGGGGATGGGGTCCAGGTGGAAGCCAGCTCCTCGGTCGGACACTTAGTGGCTCTAGCCTGGGGGCTTGGTCCAGCATCTTCACTGCTTGCCTGTGGAAGATTCAAATCACAGATATTAGCTCAACGCCTCTAGGGGCTGGCAAAAAGAGGCACAGATTACAGCAACACACGTTCCCTTACTGCCTGGCATGTCGGCTTCCTACCTCTTCAAATCGAGTCGAAAGACTATTAATATCCCTTGCTTTTAGTTTGGGTTTTTTTTTGTACAAGCTGCCATTTTGGTGAATGGGTTGAAGATTTTAAATAAAGTTATAACTACTCAACATTTGGTGCCTTTAAGAAAGGCCTGCCCGTACTACATCTCCTTGGAAATTGTATTTTACATTTAACACAAAAGACCACACTTGCCAAGTTAAGTGACAGCTAAAGCCCACTGAACACCTTTCTGTACAGACTCTTACAACCGTGTTAGCTAGTCTCACTTAGCTTTTGTAAGGTGGACTTTCCTTTGCGTCCCCTTCTACTCCATTTTCAATCTTATGAGGCCCTTGCTGGAGAAGTAGCTTGTGATTTGCATTTTACATTGTTGCAGCTACAAGTCAAGTAAGGATAGAGCAGGTGGTGCTGAGTCTAGTCCAATAACACTGGCTGACATTTTCCCATCTGTGGGGCTTCCTGTGATGTAGCTTAATCAATTCTCTCCTCCGCCTTACTACTTTCTGTGTTCTACGTGAGAATAGAGAGAACCTTGTCTAAGGGTATCATTTGAACTCAGAGACCAGTTCACCAGAGCTGAACCCATCGGACCTTAGCGGTGATGTTCTCCTTCCTGCTGGTGTAGACCACATCGCCGGACCTCGTGGTGGTGAGCCCTGATCCTGGCAGGTAGCTCCGCCGAGGGGGTGGGGGAGGAGGAGGTGGGGACTTACCCCCCAGCTTGTCCAAGTCTTGTTCGGAATTCGGAGAGTCTTCTGGAAAACAGTGTGTCATTGCAAAATAACCTCTTTGCAAGAGAACTTCCAGAACAGTGTATTTCTATAAACTTGATGCAATCTGATGTAAACATCTCTCTGTTCTCTCCATAGTGCCAGGATTAAAGGCATAGACCCTATAGCCCGACTGACTTGAAATCCCAAAAACACCCTGCACAAGTTAATTAACTTCTCTCTGCCTCAGTTGTGTCATCTATTAAATGGGTATCATAATAATCCTCTCCACTGGGATGCTGTGGAGATTAAATACCTTAATATACACGAAGCATTTAGAACAGTGCTTAGTGACTTACTGTAAATGCAATACAAGTATGAGCTATCATTATTAAAAAAATATGTGCATATATATATATGTGTATACATATACACACACATATATATATGTAGCATATATACATATGTATATATATTTGTATATACACATATATATATATGTAGCATATATACATATGTATATATATTTTAAGTAGGCTTCATGCCCAGTGTGGAGCCCAACATAGGGCTTGAACTCAGGGCCCTGAGACCAAGACCTGAGCTGAGATTAAGAGTCAGATGCTCAGGGTGCCTGAGTGGCTCAGATGGTTAAGCGTCCGACTGTGGCTCATGTCATGATCACACAGTTGGTGAGTTCGAGCCCCGCCTCAGGCTCTCCGCTGTCAGTGCAAAGCCCACGTCAGATCCTCTGCCTTCCTCTCTCTCTGCCCTTCCCCTGCTCACTCTCTCATTCTCTCTCAAAAATAAACATTAAAAAAAAAAAAAAAAAGAGTCAGATGTTCAACCGACTGAGCCATCCAGGTGCCCCAAGAGCTATCGTCATTAAGTAAAACTTCTGGGTATTCCTTGGAGAGATGAAATATTAGAGCTTAGAGACAAGTCCAGAGCCCCTCGCATGGCTGCTAAAGGAAGGACGTGAGAGACGGTGTTATTAGCAGGAGGAGTTTGTGCAGGGGATGTTAGAATAGAATCTGGCCGATGAAGGGCCAGGAGGAAATGCAAGGCAGATGAACAGAAAACAAAGTCAGGGACAAAATGGACTTTTGGTCCTGGTTATGTGGTTGGAAAGGGTTCTCTGTTAATGAAAGGAGGCAGTAAACACAGAAATGCAGAAGGAGAAGTTGGCATTGACACCAAAGGTTAGGAAATACAGATATCTACTTAGCTTTCTCCAGAAAAATGTCCAGAAAAGGCACTTAACCAAACTCAAACCTCCTCATTTCTGTCCTTTATCATCATTCCTCACCTCTGCCTTTTACCAGCCTGAACCCAAGTGCGCACTAAAGCAGCAGAAGCAGAAACTCGGGGTTGGACCTTCCAACTGCACTTTGCCCCAGCTCTCTCTAGGAACACGGCCTGCCCTCTCAGGAATATGTTTGTCCTTTCTGAGCAACCTAGTCAGAGCTGTTTGAGGGACACGCTTGAGAAGTTTCTACTTAAAGCTGTAGTAAGGGTGTGGGTGCTCATCAGGGTGAAAGGCCAGTGGTTACGTGTAGCCGACAGTTCTGGTCTCCTGCAGGAGAGTGCTGGGTGACGAGGCCCCAGCAGCAGTGGGCCACCTGGCTGGTTCCTGAGCCAGCAGCCTGGCCGGGGGACAGCCTCATCAGCTTTGTGGGTCCCCCCAGGGACTGGCACAGGCTGACGGGCCCTGGAAGTGGGCCCAGGTCTCCTCTCCTGGGTCATGACCATGACTGCCTCTTTGCCCGGCTTTGGTCAGGCTCCTCCGAGCTCTCCTCTCCGCTAAGCCTTGCCCTTGCTCTGTCTGCTAAGCCTTGCCCTTGCTCTGTCTGCTCAGCCCAGTTTTAGCAAAGAATTCCGTGAAGTCCGTTTAGCAAGAATCCCCCATTCTTGACATCTGAGCTGGTTCTTCGCTCCCTCTGCACATCCAGGCGCTTGGCCTGCCTTTTAGCGAGACTCTCCCTACCCTTGATGTATTGTATTCAGAGCTGGGTTCAGTTTCTCTCCCCTGCTGCCGTGGTCTTGAATAAAGTCTTGCTTGCTCTTTTTAACAAATATCTCTGTGAATAATTTTTCTTTAACACTGACTGAGGCTACCATCTCTAAAATTTGCCACTGATTTTTTTAGGAGCTACATTTTCTAAGTAGTCAGACAATTTATACAAGAGGAAATACAAATAGCTTTTAAAAACCCTAAGCGTAGAATTTCACCTCATTAGTAAACAAAAATCAGTAAAAGCAGTGACATCCATGCCAAATAAGTAAAAATGATAGAAACCAACGTTTGCAGGTAACAGATTGTATCCTTATGCATTTCTGGTGGCCAGTACATTAGCAGACTCTCTCTGAGAAGAAATCAGGCCATGTGTTAAGACAAAACAAAACAAAACAAAACAAAACAGAACAAAACAAACTCAGCTGGTGGAGCATGTGACTCTTGATCTCAGGGTTGTGAGTTCAAGTCCCATGCTGGGTATACAGTTTACTTATAACATAACATAACATAACATAACATAACATAACATAACATAACATAACATAACATGTTTAATTGAGCAAAAATATTTTGGGGAGTAATTTTTAAAAAATACTTTATGCAAATTATTTCTTTGGTTTTAAATGTTGGTTTATTTTTGAGAAAGAGGGAGACAGAGTGCAAGCGGGGGAGGAGCAGAGAGAGAGACACACACAGAATCCGAAGCAGGCTCCAGGCTCTGAGCTGTCAGCACAGAGCCCGACACGGGGCTCAAACTGATGAACCGAGAGATCGTGACCTGAGCTGAAGTCAGACGCTTAACTGATTGAGCCACCCAGGCGCCCCACTTTATACAAATTTTTTTTAATCTGAAGGAATAAAAAGCCCAGATGTGGTAAGATAACAAGTGCAATCACGAGAAGGAACAATTATGATTTATAACTATTTTTTATAACTTATTTGTGATTATAAAACATCAAAGGACTACCTGACAAAAGTAATAATAAGGAGAGCCAAATTAGGCCAGATGGAAACGGAATGGTGTAGACTTTTACCCATGAGAAATTCCTCACGGGGACTTTGGGGGAGAAGCCATCTTTGTGAGAACAGGGCTGCCCCTCCCGGGCCCCTTCCTCCTAAGGTACTTGCTGCCTGACCCTTCTGGTCCCTAAACAGGCCTCACCCAGCTGGGCAGGTGGGGAAAAGGGGTGAAAAACTTGGCACACACAGGCTGATGGGGGCAGTTTCAGTGAGGGGAATTTTAGAGCAGCTTTGGGGAAGGAGAACAGTGAGACAGGGTTACAGTGGTTACAAATTGTATCTATGCTCATGTTCCTGGACGTGCATGCAAGTCAAGATGGCGATTCCTTTCCAGATTAATTTTAGCTACTGGAGGAGGCACCATCGAATGTGGCTCTGAGACACTGGGCTGCAGGTAGAATGGTGTCTCTGTTCGCAACTTTAAGATCAGAGTAAGGCATGAGGCTTGTTGGTCGGAGATTTAGGAGGCTGAGTTTTCTAACGGTTATTTTATGTTCTTAGGGACACATTGAGGCTTAACTTCCATAGTTTAGTTAGTTCAATATACCATCTAATAATTTTGATTTAAAAAATGCAATTTCGCCTCATGATCTAATGTCCCCTCGGGACCTCATAAAGCCTGGCATTTTCTTCCTGCAGCATATGAAAAGCTCTTACTCTAAATGCGGCCCTCTCATTCTCCCAGCTGGTGCTGTGAAGTGTCATAAATTCACAGGAAATGTGGAAGCCGGGAATCTAAATTTTACCTTACCGGGCATTGTTCTAGTATCCTCAAGTAGAACATCATTTCCAGGCTACCGTTATAGTTAAGAGGCAGTAGTGAGAATGTAGTGATACCTGAGGATTTGCTCCAATTTATAAGAGTCTTAAGAAGTGAGAGATTGGTGCTGCTGGCCAGCACGTGCTTACGTAGGCAGCACTGCCCTGACCCGAGGGTAGCCAGCCCGCATAGCCCTGTGAGCACCTCACCTGAAAGTTCTAGCTTGTCTACCGGAGCATCGCCCTTTGGTTGTGGGCCCAAGGCTGGTGGCATCTCCAGGTTTGGAATTGACCTCATGATGTTGGCCTGAGCTTCTTCTAGTAGCTTCTCAAACTCTTTCCCGTTATAGTGGTCCAGATTTTGCCTTTTCTCTTCCCATTTCCTCTCTGCTTTCTGAAGGAAAAGAACAAGTGAGGAAGGTTTAAAAACCAGAAGGAAAGCTAATTAGAGATTTCGTGTGGGGGTGGCGGAGAGCATAACACAGGTTAAATGTGGATAAAATAATGCTCCGGTTTCTGCACTGAGGGACATTTTTGCACATCAGACAAACGTGCCCCTGTGCTCTCTGCTGTGTAAGCCCAAGTGGTCTTCACTCACACAGAAGCAAGCTCAGAAACCCAAATGCATTCATTCCATTATCACTGAGCATTTACTGCTACTTTCAACCAATACTAATAAAAGGACACAGGGATATGCTTTCAAAAGCATGTATCCCATCACCAAGTTTTTGTTCTCGAAACTGAGTTTTCACTGCGGAGGAGATGTGCAGACAAACAGAAGCTAAGCCCAAAAACACTCACCAGGAACAAAGAATCCTACATCACAGTCCCGTGGCTAAGAACTGCTATATGGCCTCCGGGTCAAACTTTCTTACGTGTAAAATGGGGTTTATCTGGACACCCTCGAAGTTCCATCAAGTTCTCCCAATAGGGAGAATTACATGAAATGCATTTTTAAATACCTGTACATTTTTTTAAAAGGAACATTTTCCTGTGATTTCGAGGTGGCACAGTAATCCTTCCAGGAGGGCAGAGGGGAAATGGCACCAGGGTTACTAGAACCCCAACACGTAAGAACTGGAAAAGACCGAGGAGATCACTTCACCAACACACTTCACACGTGAGAACGCGGATGTGTCCAAGATCCACGCTACGTAAACAAGCCACTGCCACCCCTTACCACCCCCCTCCCTTCATTGTTTCTTCCTAGCTTTTTATGACCATCTGGCATACGCTGGTTCTCGGCCTCTCCCTACAAGCAGGCATGTTTCTTGAAGGCACGGACTCTGTCCCTTCTGTTCCCTGCCTGCCTCAGAGCCTCTGGGGGCTGGTGCACAGCAGGGCTCGGGGATACGGTCCGTGAAGGAAGCTCACCTTACGCAGCAGCAGTGGAGCGGGCGGCGAGGCCCAGGCCTCCTTACCGCAGATCGGGGCATTTTCAGAGACGACTCGTGAGTCGAAACTGAGAATACACACGTGGCCACGATGGCCACGCCCAGTGGGTTCTCAAGAGACGTTTGTTAAATAGATGGGTCGTCCCACTGACACGGTTTCCATACAGAGATGTAGGAAGTGGCAGATTCCGCTCACTCTCAGGAGGAAACGTGTTGTTCAGTTTTCGCCCCTGCCCTGCTGGGCACAATGGGACAGAATCACTGTCAGGCAATCACATTTCACCCCTCCCGTGAGCTGCGTTTCGTAAACGGCTGGCTTGGAGGGGAGGCACAGCCGCTGACTTTGGAGCAGAGGCAGAAGCTACCTAGGGTCCAGAGGCCCGGTTGCCCTGACCGTGGCCTTGGCAATTTGAAGAGGTTATTTTTTCTTGAAACCTGAGTTATCCACTGCTGACACGCAAGAGAGGCGGGCACGGTGAGGAGCAGGGTCTGGGGTAACGACGCTGGGGAGACAAAATGTGATACTCAGGCGTGGATACCGGGCTCCTGATAGAATCTTTAAAACCATGGCGTGTTTTCTATGTTGTGTGACTCTAAGACCCAGTTTTCTCTTTCCATTTTGACGGCCTCCACCTTGCATCCTGAGACTACTCTAATGACTTCCCACCCAGCAACCTTAATTCGAGACCCCACCACCTTAATTGATTCTGTACATTGTTTCAGAGCAATTTTCTGAAGATGCTGATTTTTTATCACTGCTCTGAGGGGCCGCATTTTTTCGGACACCCACCCCATGACCTTGAGACGTCCTGGACTGGTTTGCCAGCTCCCACACATCCGGTTCCAGTCTGTTTTGCCAGCCTCGTCTCCTCTATCTTGTTCCCATAAAACAAGTTTACTCGTGGTTCCCTTTGCTCCAGCAACCCCTCTGTGCTAGCCCTCACCAACCCTGCTCCACTTACCCAGATTCTACTCACTTTTCCAGGCCAGTAGCAAACCCTCCACCGGCCCGCATTCACCAGTGATATGCTTGAGCAGGGAGAGCTGACTCACATCTCCCCAGCCGCATGCCCACTGACGTCCTGCTGAAACTCGCAATCAGCAACGGTGGGAGAAGACGCCTCAGAAACTGGCAGATTCTATGAATCAGGGCTTCCCCCTGCCCCCACCAGAGAACTGGTTGGTAAACACTTCCCAGCACACCATGGTTTCACCTTCCCACAGGATGGGGTGTCTCACCCTTCTCTGAAATCCGACTGTTCTCTTAATCTGGCCATCGAAACCCATTTGTAGTTCAAAAAATCTCTCTTTGAGACAAATATATATACATACATATATATATATAGATATCTATATATATTTGATATAAATGTATCTTTGACACATATATGCATTCTCTTTACAACCAGACTATAAACTCCTTGAGGGAAGGACCAGATGTTATTCCTCTATAGGGTTAATGAGAAATGGACATAGGACCCTACCTCAATGGACACTGCCCTGTTCTTGGCGCTCGCGCTGTGGATTTCCTCAATGAGCAAGCTCTGCATGGCAGAGCCGTTCATGGGCATCTGTGGGGACTGAGGAGCCTGTGCCGACTGCAGAGCTGAGGTCACTTCCTGTGTGGTGGCCGAAGGGCTGGTGGGGTGGGGACCCGAGCCCCCCGGCAAGTGCTGGGCGGGGTTGAGCAGGGCGGCGGAGAGCTGGGAGGGCTGGATGACCACAGGGGAGCTCTGCGCATGGTGAACGGTCAAGGGCACCACTTCTGACTTCACGTCGCCGGGGACTCCTGCGCCGTGGAGGGGCTGGCCTGAGGTGTGGGGTGCCTCCTCCTGGCTCTTCAGGACTTCCGCGGCCGTGGCCTTTTCCATAGCGACGTACTGTGCGGCCTGGGCTGCATCTGTACCTTTCAAGAGCCCATCGGTGACGTGTCTGGGAGAAACCATGCACAGCAGCATTAACTCTTAAGGTAGGTAACTTGCATTTTATTTGTATGGCACACTTGAATGCCGTGGCATCCCAAAGCCAGGCAAGAGGTTGCAAAATTAAGACATCTGACAACCCGGAGTAGCAGCTTGGGGATGAAGGTTTCCATAGCAACTTCCTAATGCCCTCCAATTGCCTCCTAACCGTCTCTGGTACCTGATTGCCCAGTCCTTCCCTCACGAGATGGTCTGTCTCTGCCTTTCCACCAGCACCGTTGTGCCCAGCCAGACACGGTTCCATCACTATTGGTGTGGGGGCGGCCAGGAGTGAACAGATGATTCTAACATTAACCCCCTCCACCCAGTCCCCGCTGGACAGCCCTCAGAGATGCTCCGTTCTAACCCCAAAAGCTTCCTGAGCCCTCCATACTCTCCTCCTTTGAAAATCCACATGGAACTCTTGTTCCTCTCCAAAACCTAACTGCTAATTATCTACTGTTGACCAGAAGGATTACCTATATCATAAGTACCTGATTAACATACATTGTGTATGCTATGACTGGATTCTTACAATAAAGTAAGCTAGGGAAAGGAAAACGTGATTAGGAAGATCACAAAGAAAATACATTTACAGCATTGTCTCGTACTTATCAAAAAAAAAAAAATCCTTACATAAGTGGACCCGTGCAGTTCAAACCCGAGTTGTCCAAGAGTCAACTCTATTTTAATTCCTGGTGCTTGCTCTTCCTGTCGCTTGGATCAGGCTTCCTTCCCCACCTGGACTCGACCACGCCTTTCTGGGAGGTCAACAGTGACTCCAAATCTAACAGCCCGGTTGGTCCTCATCCTCCTCTGCATTTTGGGGTCATGTGAAGCTATCTGTGCATTTCCACCCACGGTGCAGGGGAAAGAACACGGCTCTGGGGTCAGACAGGCCTGTGTTTGAATATCATCAGTTCTGGCAGGTTCTAGCTCTAGGATGCTGGGAACTGTACCTTTCTGAGCCTCAGATATTTTTCTGTAGAATGTAGTGATGATGATAAGGAGGAGGGAGGATGAGACTGCCTTCTGGCGCCTTCCTCGGGAGCTGTTGTTACGATCGATGTAGGGTATGTCAGATGACATGATACGTGGTACTTGACCTACAATCTTTAATCAGTCCCTTACTTTCTTCCGATTAAAATGTCTATTTTTGATTTGAAAAGAGACACTGCATCCGATGACTCTCCTCTGCTACTCACTTGTTTCTTTTGCTGCTTACGTACCCTGTTCCTCCAATCCCCGAGGGACCCCCGAGGATCTGTTCCCCCCCTTTCCCTCTCCTGCCACCGTGCCCTCTCTTCCACTGTCAGCAGTCATCTGCATGAAGGCAACTTCCAGTTCTGAAGCTCTCCTCCCTCCTGCCCTCCCTCTCTCCAGTTAGGCAGGGCCGCGCCTCTAACGCTGTCTCTTGAACTTCATTCAGTGTGTGTTTCTTCCTCTAACTGAAGTCAGCTGTGCTCCAGAAGTGAAGGAGCCTAATAAAATATTTTGACGCATTCTTCAATCTTAAAGTGTTATTAAAAAGGACCACCTTCAAATGAGTTTTTGAAAAAAATGTTTACTCAATGTTTCCTAACGTTAAGCTCTAGGATGTGCCAAACGCAGCAGGCCTGTGCTGAACGACCGGGACCTCAAGTCATACTGCAATGGAACGTCTGATGTGGGAAGGAGTTGCTGCCGTCCTCCCTCACGAGCTCCCCCCGCCTGGGGGGCTGCCCGGTTACCTCCGCAACATGGTCAGGGTGTCGGTCATGCTCCGTACTCTCTGCAGGAGGCTGTCCAGCCTGTGGGGCTCCTCCTTCAGAAACCGCACGGCCTCGACTTCTATGCGCAAGATGGCTCGCATCTTGTTTTGTAAGGTGGGGAATTCTCCTGCAGGCCAAGAGCAGAGGGTGAGTTGGAGGAAAAGCGGAACAAGCCCCCATCCCACACACGCAGGCCGGGTAGGGTCGGGAGCGTGGGGTTCATCGGCCGCAGCGCTCCGCACACATCTCCAGGAGGCAGACGCCTGTCAGACAGAGCCGGGTTCCAAGTGACCTCGGGCAAGGGCAGGGGTCCTCTGCGCCTCACTTCCTGTCTGCTTATGTGGGATAAAGGCAACCGTCCCTGAGGGCCATTTTCAATGAATTTGGCACAGGTGCCCTGGCACACTGGAAGAGCCAGTGGAGAGAAACCGGCATTGGTGTCATTTCGCCCTAAATCTTACGGCGCCCACTAAAACAGAAGCTCCAAGAAGACAGGGACATGTGCCCATTTTGTTCAGTGAGGCATCGCCGGTGCCTAGAACAGCGCCTGGCCCACAGGGTATTTGATGAACACTTGCAGGCACACATGCACGAACGAACGGATCTGTCACTGTCGGACAGGGTTTTAACCTCCCCCCCCTCCCCCCCGCTCTCCTCCCGGAGACGCGCTTCGGACTTCTCCCCTTCAAGGAGGAGGCTCACCTTTCAGGGTGGCTACTGCTTCTCCCACTTGCCGCAGGAGGAAAGCCCCATCTTCCACATCTTTTAGAGTGACCACTCGGGCAGCCGACGTAGAGTCCTTCTTCAAGTCTTCAACGAAGTCTTCCAGCTCACTGGGGGTGGGGGCAAGCAGACCAGTAGGTGGCAGTGAACACCGAGGCCCCCCAAAAGGACAGCTGTAGTAGCAAAGGGCCCATCCGAGCCTCCTGTTGCTCACCGCGGCCCAGCCTCCCCTGGCCTTCCGCTAAGATGGCGGCAGTATCTCGACAGAGTAGCTTGGTGTGGCTTAAATATTCCTCTGAGGTGTAAGGCGGGTGCAAGTTTTCCCAGGGCCTGTTCTTGGGGATGCCCAGGTTGGCCAGAGGGGAGGTGGTGGCTGGACCCATTCTTTATTTTCAGTGGTGCTGATGCCGACTAAGGGAGGGCAGTGTGCATTTTGTAAGGTGATGGGGTGGGGGCGGGGAGTGCACGCCGTAGCAGGGCAAAAGGAGTGGTCCTGATTGGCTTATATTAGCCTTCTAAACCTGAAACTTGATATATTGGGCTGGATAATTCTTTCCTATAGGGACTTGACCTGTGCATTGTAGGGTGTTTCGCAGCACCCCTGCCCTCTGCCCACTAGATCTAGTAGCACCCTCTCCCCGGTGTGTGACAAACAAAGATGTCTCCAGACACTGGGAAATGTCCCTGAGGGAAGTGGGGATGGGGTGGGGGAGGGGAGCAAACTTGCCCCTCTGGTTTATACTGATGGCCTCATCAATAAGGACTGACTTTCCTCTCTAAGCTCCAAAGAGGAAGAACGATCACAGATCTGATTTCTGGTGTGTATGTGTGTGTAAGAGAGAGGGAGAGAAAGACACACGCAGGTGCACGCGCGCGCACGCACACACACACACACACACACACACAGGTACTGCTAGTTCTGAGGTCTTCTGCTTCAAAATGCAAAGCAACCAACGAAACAAACCAACAACATCCTGTCTCCTGGGCACATTAATCACCCATCATAAACACGGTTGTATCACTTCAGTTTGCCTGTAAATCTGACAACAGAAAACTTCTCTTAAGGTAGTGGAGGACAAGAACGTTGAGAGATTAAGAACCACTAGGTGGCGGTAGGCAAACAGCATTCACCTACAGGGGCAGTGCTAGGGGCTGGCGGGGAACAGGGAAAGAAGACACAGCGTTATCTGTAAAAAGATGGCCTGCCAAGACCCTTCCCGCTAAGTGGGGGCGCAGATGGAGGTTATGGATGGCACAGCTACTGCAGGACGGATTCAGGCGGGATGCCATGTGTGTTTAACAAGGACCAATGGGGCAAACAACAAGTCCATCCGCTGTAGAGAAGCGAGATGGAGTTTTTGGTGACGTCTTTCATTCTATTATGGAAAATGGACCCAAACTGCCTGTGATCCCTTCAGATGAAATACTGCAACTCAGGACCCAAAGGGAAAGCCCCAACTGCTCACTGTCCCCATGCAAACTATGGAAAGGTACCTGATGTTATGGGAACGCACCCACAGGAAACTTCCTGCAGCTAACCACACCCCTGAGGAGACAATGTATGCCATCCCTCCTAAGAGCTCTAAATATGGCACCTATGTGTGCAAAAGTTATTTACCACTTCATCACCAAAACGAAATATCTTAGAGTGTAGACTGGACACACTGTCCAGTCCTTCCAAGTTCTGAGGGAAGAGCTAAGACCCAAATGTTATCACGGTTCCATTTACAACCCACAAGTCTGCCAGGTGTCAATGAATACTCCTAAGAGCTATCATCTGACCTGAAGTCAGTCTGCCTAAAGTTCTATTTTAATCTCTTTTACATGATGTGCCTTTGGGATTTCATAACTCTGAACACAGAAGACCCATAAATGTCACAGCTTTTCCTGGGTTGATCAAGGAATATACACAAAAGTGTATTGATATTATTGTATACAACAATGTCATTTCTGTTCATATGTTTATGATATATATTACGAAGCACTCAGATAAAATTTGTTTATTCAAAATGTAACAGAGATCATGGAGCTAAAATGAATGCTGAAAACAAACTTTCAATATTATGTAATCAATATGACTTTGGAGATGTGAACTCGGCTCAAAGGAAAGCCAGATGTTCACAGATGCTGTGGTTTAGCTCTAAATCCATTCTATTTGTGTAAGTTGCTTTTCATACTATGTTAGTTAAAAGAAGCATTAATGTTTTCATTAATATATTAATGAAGTATATTTAATTTGACAGTTATTAGAAGCCCAATTATTATTTCCAAGTAGAAACCCACCAAAGAGAAATGATCTGGATTCCATTTCTCTCTGTATTCTAGATCCAAATTTCACTTCTCTGCCCTCTTAATGGCTCACCAGCAACTTAGTCCAACATGACGCCCAAGAGAACTTATTTTCCAGTGTGTGTGTGTGTGTGTGTGTGTGTGTGTGTGTGTGTGTGTAAGGTGAAGGGCAGGGGAGGGGAGAGGAGGGAAGGAGGGGAGATTGTTTTCCTGATGCTCCTAAGTTGAAATTTCCAGTTGTCTTTTTTTTTTTTACATGTATTTACATGTATTTCTCATGTATTTGAGAGACAGAGTAAGACAGAGCACAAGTGGGAGAGGGGCAGAGAGAGGAGACAAAGAATCTGAAGGAGGCTCCAGGCTCTGAGCTGTCAGCACAGAGCCCGATGCGGGGCTTGAACCCACAAACCGTGAGATCATGACCTGAGCTGAAGTCAGTCACTTAACCGACAGCCACCCAGGCACCCCCAGCTGTCTTTTGTAACAGTCCGTTTTCATTTGATTTCTCTTCCCATTCCTGTTTTTACTCCTTGATTCAGGCCTACTGACATTTTTTTAAAGTTTATTTATTTATCTTGAGAGTGAGAGTGCATGCATGCAAGTGAGGGAGGGAGAGAGAGCGAGAGAGAGTATCCCAAGCAGGCTCCATGCTGTCAGTGCACAGCCCAATGCGGGGCTCAATCCCACAAACCTTGAGATCATGACCTGAGCCAAAATTAAGACTCAGACGCTTAACTGATGGAGGGAGCCACCCTTGTGCCCCAGGCCTTACTGACTTTCGACTGGACTGTTCTAGCTGCTGCCAATATGGTTTCCCTGACACCAAAGTTTCCCCCTCCAACAGTCCTGCACATGATCACCAGAGGGACCTTTCTGAAACACAGCTCTGCATCCTTTTCTGTGTTTCCTTGATCAAAAAACTTTGCTGCATCCTTGATCAAAAACTGTCAGTGACCTCCTCATCAGGCTGGTCAAATGGGAAGACACTTGAGAATCTCCCCTGGGTAAAATGCACATTCTTACGCTCCATCCAGAGAGGTTCTGGATCTGGGGTTGGACCCAGGAGCTTCCATGAAAAGCCAGGAATCTAGGTTTCTGTCACATGATCCTCCAATCTCGGTAAACACAGTCCCTGCACACACGGAGCAGGCAGGCAGGGCGTGAATGTGGTGTAAGATACGGGCAGGCATCATGCAAGGGGGAATGGCGTTACCCAGACATGAGACATGGTCTAGCATCTTGCATCATCTCCGCCAACGTGGTCGGCCCCCAGTTTTCCAAGGACACCTTGCACCTTCCTGGTCCTGAGTCTTGCTGGCTCACAGGGTTGCTCTGCCTGGGAACCCCCCATCCCTCGCCCCGCTTCCACTGATGGAACCCCACCTGACCTCCAGGCCAGCCTGGTTCGGTTTAACAAACCCTTTGTGAGACCCCGCTAAACACACGGCGCTGCCCTGGGTCTGGGGCCACAGGACAAATAACTTATTTCAGGTTGTCTTCTTGATCCCTGGGGCCCGAAGCAATCTCTCCTTTGCGTAGGGCCACCTGGCACAGGTGAGCCACCTGTTTTGGGCTATACACATACTCATATGCTCTGCTTTGCCGGACCGGAGCTCCTCAAATGCCCTGTGCACATCTTCTCCAGGTGCAGCCAGCCCACAGATGAAGTGCTCTCCTGATAGGCTCCCCATGCCCCTTCCTAGCTCACTCCTGTGCTGGGCTGCTGGGGTAGTACTGAGATTAAGTACTTTTTCTAGAGCAAAAGCAAGACTTAGCTGACTGATAAACACAATCCTTAAAAGAAGGAAATTTACTTTTTCGTGATTTAATTGGAAAACATAAAATATTCTTAAAAGGCTACACATTTTTAAAGAAGTTTTCAAGAAGAATCTTTTAACACCTAGACGTAGAAAACTGGGCCATCACAAAAACATTTCAGACAAATAACAGCCTTATCACCTCACGGTGGGTGGTTAATGGTCTACAAATGAATGAACTACATAAAATATTAGAAGCTATTTTGAGATGTTGGTGAACAGTGGTCAAATACTTTTTTTTTTTGGAAAATTATAACTCTAATTGATTTTTTTCCCCCCTCTGGACTGCTACTGAGACGGACATTCTTATTTTAATTAGACACGCTGGGTGGGCATCTGGGGTGACACAGGCTCAAATATCAAACAGTCGATAGAAAATAACACTTTCCATCATGGAGACTTGCGGTCCTTCTGCCCATGAGAAGAACGTGAAAGTTGCTTCTTTCTAGTCCCAATTTGGGAGATTGAAGAGAATTAACAATGCTAGGAGAATCCAGAAAAATTACTGCTCATTACACTAGAAGGTGAAATCATTCTATGATAAATCTTCATTGCATAACAAAACATATATTACCATAAAAGATGTGCCCACCCCAGTGACTGGGGAGTAATAAAACTGCTCATTTCAATAGTGGGACTTGATAGATGCTTTCAATAAGAACCTCATAGAAGATTGATAACATTCAAGGAGGCATCTTTCATTCCTGGATCAGACCTACTTTACACTTAAATTCTTCTTTTGTGCTTTTAACTACAGTTGAATAATAGGAAGATAATTTTAACACCGTTATTTTGGCTATTAGTTTTCATTTACTGAGATTAAATGCCGACTTCCCATTTATCATTGGGTTTTGCCATTTGCTTCCTCTCATTTTCTCTGTTGCCGAGCCCCACAAAGGAGCGCGGTGCTCCAGCTGTTAATGAGACAAGCGCAGTCGAACTTGCCGGGGTCTGGACAGAGGGGCGCTAAGTGTCCAAGGATACCCAGAACCAGCAGAACCCTAACTTGTACACAGTAGGTGCTCAATAAAGAAAGAGGGAGGGGCGCCTGGGTGGCTCAGTGGGTTAAGCGTCCGACTCTTGGTTTCGGCTCAGGTCATGATCTCACGCTTTGGGAGTTCGAGCCCTGTTTCGGGCTCAGTGCTGTTGGTGCGGAGCCTGCTTGAGATTCTCTCTCTCTCTCTCTCTCTCTCTCTCTCTTCCCGCCCTCCCGCCCCCTTGCTCTCTCCTTCTCTCTCTCTCTCAAAATAAATAAACTTTTAAAAAAGTTAAAAGAGAGAGAGGGAGAGAGCACCATCTAGGAAGGGGCTTCTTGTTGGCAAGGACAGTGTCTTTTTCGGGTCCAACGGGTGACTGGCACTCACCACAGCTTTTTGACGATCTTCTCCTCTTCGTGCAGGTATTTCTGTCTCTCTTGTTCCACGAGGACGCGCTGTCGCTGCACAGGGTCCTCCAGCCTCTTCATGGTTTCGATCACTTTGCCGCTGATTTCCAGCTCGGCCTTCTTCATCATTGCCCTCAGCAGCTCCTGGTTCTGCAGCTGTTGAACAAAAGAAATCAACTTCAATTGGTACTGCCTGACTGACATCGTGGCGACTGACTGCCTGACGGTCTTCAGAAGCCGGCTGGGGTAAACAGCCCTGCAGCTGAATATTTATTTCAGTGAGAAAGGGAAGGAAGCAGAGATTGTATATAATATTGCTACTTCAGCCAACATCTGAGGTTTACTGCCAACTGCCAACCAGACTTTCGTGTCTGTGTCTGCAAAAAATAGGACACTTACTCCGGTCAGTGCAGCATGGACAACAGGCATAAACTCTCACTGACATGTTTTTTACAGGGAGCAGCTGAGAGCACTAGCTTTGGAGTCAAGCACCTTCTTTTTTTTTTTTGCTGGTTGTGTAGCTCTGAAGATGCGCCTGGGCTTTGCAAGCCCCAAATTGAAACACGGAACTGAGCGTGTGATGATGCAGAACCCAGTGACCCAACCCACGCTCCTTCCTTGAACTCACGTGATCTTGGAAACATCACTTTCTCTTTCTCTGTGCAAGACTTCAGCTGCAAGAGTGGAACGTTTAGGAATATGGCTTACGGTGTTAGGAGAATATCTGTAAAGTTAGGAGAAGTGGTCTGTGCACCAAAATATTCCTTCCTGCCTACTGCAGCCTCCTTCCATCATGGTGCCCCAAATACCCGTATTAGTTGGCCTTTTAGATCTCAGAGGCTTTTTTAAAAACTTTGACCCCCTTCACCCATTTCTCACACTCCCCCCCTCTGGAAACCACCAATCTGTTCTCTGTATCCACGAGGCTTTTTTTTTTTATTATTATTATTATTCTGCATATAAGAGAGATCATATGACATTTGTCTTTCTCTGACTCATTTCGCTTAGCATTGTGCCCTCAAGGTCTATCCATATTGGCACAAATGGCAAGATTTCATTCTTTTCTATGGCTGAGTAATAGTCCATTGTATATAAATACCTAATTATTTTTATTTTTATTTATTATTGAAGTATGGTTGGCATACAATGTTATATTAGTTTCAGGTGTACAACACAGTGATTCAACAATTCTATACGTTACTCAATGCTCAACAAGTGTAGTCACCATATAATATTACAATATTGACCATCCATTGATGGACACTTTTGTTTCCATCTTTTGGCTATTGTAAACAGTACAGTAATAAACATGGGAGCGCATGTATCTTTTTGAGTTACTGTTTTTGTTCCCTTTAGATAAATACCCAGAAGTGGAACTGCTGGATTACATGGTAGTTCTATTTTTATTTTTAGAGGAACTTCCGTATTGTTTTCCGGAGTGGCTGCACCAATTTACGTTCCCACCAACCGTGTACGAGGGCTCCTTTTTCTCCACATCCTCGCCAACACTTTTCATTTCTCGTCTTTTTGGTACTAGCCATTCTGATGGGTGCGAGGTGATATCTCATCGTGGTTTTCATTTGCATTTCCCTGATGATTCATAAAGTTGGGTATAATTTTCACGTACCTGTTGGTCATGCTCATATCTTCTTTGGAAAATTATCTATTTTCAAATCTGCCCATATTTAAAAATTGGGTTGTTTGGGGTTTGGTTGATTTTTTCTTTGGATTGAGGTATACATACTCTGGATATTAACCTTTTATCAAATATACGGTTTGCAAATATTTTGTCCCATTCGGTAGGTTGCCTTTTCACTTTGTTGATGGTCTCCTTTGCTGTGCAGAAGCTGTTTACTTTGATGTAGTCCTGCTTGTTTATTTTTTTCTTTTGTTGCTTTTACTTTTGGTGTTAGCTTTAAAAATTCATGGCCAAGACCTCTGTCAAGGAGCTTACCGCCTATGTTTTTTTTCTAGGAGTTTCATGGCTTTAGGTCTTACATTCCAGTCTTAAATCCATTTTAGAGTTAACTTTTGTGTTTGGTGAGAGATGGTGGGCCAGTGTCAGTCTTTTGCATGAGGCATCCAGTGTTCCCAGCACCATTTATTGATGAGACCTTTCTTCCCTCATTGTATATCCTTGGCTCCTTTATCATAAATAAATTAATTGACCATATATGAATGGGATCATACTTCTGGGCTTTCTATTCTGTTCTATTGATCTACGTGTCTGTTTTTATGCCAGAACCATACTATGTTGATCATTATACCTCGGCCTTATGTTTTGAAATCAGGGAGTGTGTTGCCTCTACATTTCTTCTTTTTCAAGACTGCTTTGCACTGTTCAGAGCCTTTTGTGGTTCCACTTTGGATCGGACCCCAAACTCTGCCTACCGTGAGACTTTGGCATGTTCCTTAGCCTCACTTGGTCTCCATTTCCTTATCTTCAAGGATGAGGATTCACTTCCTCTAGCAGTGCTGGTCTGAGGATTACATGAGCTACTGCTTGGTATCGAATAGGTGATCAAGAAATGTTGATTTAGCCATGGACTATTTCACTGTATTAGTTAAAAGAGAATCTATGTTTGGGGCACCTGGGTGGCTCAGCTGGTTGGGTGTCTGACTCTTGATTTCAGCTCAGGTCATGATCTCACAGTTCGTGGGTTCAAACCCCGCAGTGGGATTTGCAGGCTAACACACAGCCTGCTTGGGGTTCTCCCTCCTCTGCTCTCTTAAAACAAATAAAGAAACTTAAAAAAAGAGAGAATCTGTGTCCCTCTTGTTTACACAGGTCCATGTACCGAATGCCATGTAATCACAGACCATGAAAACATAATACTTGATGTTGGTGGTTGCAACAACAATGATCCCAGATGAGCTCAAGGTTCTCGGCAATTTGTTATTTTCCCTGGGTTTTATGTAGGCTGCTTGCACACATACTGCCACAACATCCACATAACTTTCCATATACTTTCCAGAGCACTCTTGTTCCTTACCCCGGAGAGCAGAAGATGTGTGGTTTGCATCTGGCTTCAGAAGAATGTAGTCAAACGCTTGACTCCTGTTTCCAAGTCCTGTATTAAGTGTTTCTCTGGGGCAGGAGAGTTTGCTAATAGCACATCCATCAAGTGAATTCGTTCAACCAGCCTCAGAGACAGAAGTTACATGATACCTATTGTATCATACCTAAAGGTTCCCTGAAATTTCAATTAGCTGTTTGTGTTCTGGTGTCATGGGCTGTAGCACAACCACTGTATGTGACCTCATGAGAATGATGCCTTTGTCAATTGTCCTCTATTTGTGCAGACGCCATCTGACCATGTGACCCTCAACTCAAACCTTCACGGTGTCTTCTATTTTTGTTGAATGAAGATAAAACATTTCAACAGAAGCAGCAAGCAGGGCCACCGTCACGTTCCAACATCAGCTCTGTACTGATTACCTGCCCATCCAGCAAGACACTGCCCGGGTTCCATTTCTAGTTTTACCACGTGGTAGCCATGTGACCGTGAGCAAATTATTCATTGGTGTCTATCCATAAAAGGGGCAATAATCGTTCTTATCTCATAGGCTGGTAATGGAGATTCAGTGAGGGAATAAAGTGCTTACAACAGTGTCTGGCACAAACCAGGCCCTGGGGGTGGGGCCTGCAGTTTTGTCTGGAAGGGAAGCAAATAGAAACGTGCCACTCCTGGGCTACCTCCTCTGTATGACTCATAGTCATGCTCTCATGGCCTCTGCTAATAACGGCTTTTTCTTGTGGTCTTAAAAACAGTCAGTATGCTGCTAAAAGCCACCAGGTATGGAAACGATGCATCGAGGGCAACTTCCTCCCATGTTCTCTGCAGCTACAGCTTTGCCCACAAGGCACAAGGAAGTCTCACCCTTTCCCACATCGCCAGTCTCCTCGCATGGCATGCAGCCGGCAGTCCCTGCTCCAGTCACACAAACATCCTTCCTTTCTGTTCTTCGACTGGCTAGGCTCCTTTCTGCCACAGGGACTTTGCACCTGCTGTTCCCTTCATGTGGTTAATTTCTGCTCTTCACAGAGTCTCCAGGATACAGGGCCATTCACGGCAGGTACTTAATAAATACAGATAAACGCCTGGACTAAGCAGTAATGCTGTTAAGAACAAACAAAGGAGAATCTGAAATGCCTTCCTAGATTGTAGATACATGGGCTGACGCATGGGCTCAGATATGCGGTGGGCTCACCTCTCATGCCCCGACTTGCTCTGACTGCAGTGGTTGTTGAATATAAACAGCAGCACTGCCAGCTATCAAAACGGGAGGTCAAATCCCACAGAGCTATTTCCTTTGAAGGGGTGGGGAGATGAGGGGTCATAGGGATGCAAGGGACAAATAAGTGCATGACTAAATGTGTTGAAGAGTGACTGACACCTGGGTGCTACCCCCTGAGAGACTGTGATTTCATTGGTTTACCGGGTAGCCTGGGCACTGGGGATTCTTTCAACTCCTCAGACGATTCTGATGAGTCACTCAGAGTAAACATTATGGTCTAAGAGAAGGGCTCTTGAATGGATGGGTCATGTCACAGCCCTCTGTACCTAACCCTCCCACCAAATCTCACAGACAAATTCCACAACAAGTTATGGTCCTGTTAGCAGCAGATATTAACAGTGGCTATCAAACTGGAAATTATTACTGGGATGTTTAAAATTCTGAAAATTGAAATCTGGACGATGGGAAAAGTGGATCTCTGAGAGGTTAAGTGACTTATTCAGGGTCACTCAGTCATTAAGGGCAGAATCATGGTGACAACCAAGTCTTCTGAATTCCACCTAGTCATTGTTCAACCACCCCAAGTTGCTCCTCTAACAAGGCAGGGACATGTCTGTTTTATTTCCAGCCACCAAGCACAGTTTCTGGCACACAGTAGGTACCCACCACATATTTGCTGCACAAATGAATTTCAATAGAACACTACTCAGAAGTGCAGACATATCAGACGAATGTACGTAATATTCAAGTTATTCAACTGGTAACATGGTCAGATTGCATTAAAATTATTCCCCTTGGAGAGGAGGTTTGCCCGGAGGTCCAGGTTATAGGATCCTCCTTCCAAAAGAGGGGCTTACCAGAGCCAGCTGGAGGGATTACAGAGGGAATTTTCCATAGCCCAATGCTAGGCAATGATG